AAACAATCGTACCTGCTAATTCCAGGTCTTTCTGAAGCTCTCCACAAGTGGTCCTTTTTCTTTGATTTGATTTATTTGTATGTATGGATCACTTGGGTTGTTACCAACATCTGGTGAAAATTTCATGTCATTAGCACCTCTAGTAACATATTTACTGAGAGAAATGGTGACGTGTTCAATACTTATTTTACCCGCTGTATTCTATTTTTAGAGTTAATCTTATTCTAGGTGGCTGCCTATAATTCAGTCAGTTTTACAAATATTGAGCTAAAATTTGATGTGGCTCTAGCTGAGAATCCTCCACAATGCTTTTATTCAAGCACTAAGATCGAATTGGGAACGGTACCTTTTAAGGTGTGGAATCTTTAAATTCTCTGTGAACATTTCTCAGAYAAATTGAAGCTCGACATTTCTCCATGAAGAGATTCTGTTCTGAAAATTTCAGTCTAATATAACTGCTCTTTATGTTATTTTTCTGGAAGATCCCTGAGTAAAATTATGTCTTCTTCCATAACTGACCTGGGGTCTGATTTATAAAGCTTGCGTACGCACAAAACGAGCCCAAAAACTTACATACTCCACTTTTCACTCCATGGTTGTGATTTMTAAAATCAAAAACTTGACGTGAAAATGTGCGGTGCCTCACGCCAGCTCTGACCCATGCGTACGCTCATTTTGGAGACAGGAAACAGCGACACAGATGGTGAAGTATAGCCACACTGTGTAATGATCACTGTCAGATATTTAATGTTGTATGCACTTGTGTGAATATTTGCATATTTAATTTCACTTCATAATCAGACTTAGATTTTTAGGTACCACTTTACAATAAGGCTCCGCTTATAAATAGTTTATAGATTGGTTATTGATTCATCTTTAAACACTTTATAAATCATTAATAAATGTTAATTATGGATTAATCAAGAACAGGAAAGAGATAAAACTGTCCGATTTCTTGCCAAATAGTGAGCCAAATCTGTTCGTGTTCAGTACGTATTACTAGGTTTGTAAGCACAATTATGTATTGGAAACACATTTAAATAATATTGTACTATATTAATGAATTATACATACAGTATTAACAACTGTCTTATTGTAAAATGTAAGACAGTAGGTACACTATTAATTAATGACTAATAAACTTATATAAATGTCATAAAGGAGCCTTATTGTAAAGTGTAAAACAGTACACTTTTTAAGGCTCTTTTATGACATTATTAGTCATTAATAAATAGTGTACTGTTTTACACTTTACAATAAGGCTCCCTTTGATTACTGTGGATATGTATAATGCGGTAATACAGCACAATATTACATGTAAAATATGTGTTTTCCATAAATTATTGTGCTTACAAGGTAGTAAACTAATCTGAAATGTTTATTAAAGCACTTTTTTAGATGTAATAACATGTGAACAGATTTGCCTCAATATTTGGCAAGAAGCCGGACAGTTTTGTCTGTTTCCCGTCTTAATTAATGAATAATAAACACTTATTAACGATTTATAAAGTGTCTACAGATGAATTAATAAACGATCTACAAACTATTTATTAGCCATCTATAAGGGGAGCCTTATTGTAAAGTGGTACCAATTTTTATTCAACTTTATCATCAGCTTTCTTAGCAGTAATATTTATGCTTCTGCTGCTGAGCCATAAGGACCTTTGAAATAAAAACTTAAACATTAAATAAAAGTYCACACATCTCCTTCCTCCTCAGACGACCCTGACCYACAGACCCCTCCCCGACAAGAGACATTTCAACAGCACAACAGCAAAAGTCACGCTTTGGGTACRCGCAGGGCGTGCCCACCCTCGTCAGTGTGGATGTTATAAATAGTTCACTTTTTAAAAAACGTATTTGTCGCACGCGGGTGGGGGGTCTGCCGCAGATAACAGAGCAGGGGGAGGACGGGGGAGAAGTGCGGTGAACTTAACTTTATCGGACTTATTTAATTTTATTTATTGTTGGATCTTAAATTTCTGAATAATATGTGTAACTCAGAGGCGATTGCTCTAAGACTGCAAGGGAAGCTCAGCTTCCCCTAAAATGTAAAAAAATAAGTGATCAAATATATACTGTCGTGTGTTCATGTCATTGACTAAATATGCACTACAACACGCTCAACTTTTGTTCAGAATCAGCTTCTTATCACTGGTAACGACGCAGCTTTCCTCTCCCTCAGTCCTGCAGTTTCACAGAGCTTTAAACAGTCGGACGCTGAGCTTCAACAGAGCTCATTAGTGATGCAAAGACAGCAGTGAAACGAGATGAGTCATTGGATAAATGCTGGGTTTGCCCCGCCTCCGGACGCTCAGCGTCTCTGGGGGTCTATGGAGCAGTGGGCGGGTTCGGACGCCCAGATTCTTCATGATRATTGGATGATCTGTCTGAGCATGAATCCCTTTTTGATTGACAGCGAAATGAGCGAATCAGAGATCTTTTGGTGAAAACATTCAGAGGCAGTTTTTAGTTTCGTTTCTGTTCTGAGCTGAACCGGAGACTTTACTAATCCTTTTAGCTGCATTTCTTTGTTAAAAACGACTAGTGACAAATCGAGTTTTTATTTCTGGTGGGTTTTATTGTAGCTGCTTGTGTTAAAGGGGACACACTTCACTCTAGCCTCGCACCAGTCCCAGCTAGCGAGTTAGCTAGGTAACAAGCTGCACATAATGGCAGAGAGTTTGAATGTTGTGGACCGGATTTTGGAGAAGTCATTTGATACAGTCTTGTTTACAAAGAAAAACTTAGAGTTAAACATCAGGGCTGATCAACTCCTCAGATTAATTTGGTGCAAAAGGTGGGGAAACGTAAGATTAAATTTTTTTTATTGATCCCACAGTGGGGAAATAACAGGTCTTTTAAGCTGTCCTGGTAAAACAGAGCTGGCTGCTGTAAAACACTATAGAAT